AATTTCCCCTCCCCCCCCCCCCCCCCCCAAAAAAAATACTCTCAGGGCAAATGCTATGATCTTGGGAAGGATACAAGGATACATATCCCATACCATATTTTGAGTCTAAAATTAAACCTTAATTCCAGTGTAGCACCAATGCCTTCCAGAAGTTTTTTATTTAGATTTGCTGTATTACAGAGCGAGGAGGCTTTAGTGCTCTTGTTTAATGCCCTCTCTCAGTCTTTTGCAACAGTGCTAACATGTTCTTCATGCTCAGTGCAGAAGTACAGCATCCTGGAAGAGCGAGCACATCCTCCAGCGGGAGCGCAAAGGTGCGGGTTCATGGGAAGGACAGCATCCATCTGCCCCCCCAGATAAATCCAAGCCCATCTTCCCAGCTTATAGGTGGCTTTTTTTACCTTTTACTCCATAGTAAAAACCAAATTTTTCTGCAGTAAAATTCCCTGTATGTTAAAACCACAGATAGATCCACTCTACAGTCTTGAAGGTTTTTTGACAGACAACTTGTAAGCTATAAACATAGAAATCATGTATAAGTAGAAAAAGTGTTGATAAAGCAATTATGTAAAATAAGGTGTATCTGAAAATTAATGCTAAAAACATCCTGAATATGGGGAAAAATGAGAGGAGAGTTCCACCACACCAGTTGTCTCTGTTCGATACATGGAATTATAGGAGAGTTTTACCTTATTGTTACCCATATAACTGATTACATCTTTCAGTTAAAACCGTTAACTTTTCTTAAGGGGGAATAAACCTGAATTTTTGGGGGCATGGCAAGTTTTTTCCTGCTGTGAATTTCAGAGGTTTACAGCTCTACCTCCACGTGACCTTTTCTTACGCTAATCCCAGGTGGTGTATATTCCCTTTTGTTTGTACCCAGCTTTCCCTTTTATTTGTAATACGTAGGTGAAGGTGAAATGTTAAATTCATGACTGAAGAGCAGGTAAGATATTTACTACCTCAGAAGCACATCATTGTAATGTACAGTTGTGTTTGTTCTGCTGAGCAGGCCCAACGCAATTAGAGAGGGAGTTGCAGATAATGCAAAATAACTGTCTTAGAACAGTAGCTGTTGCTATAGGCAGAATGACCAAAAGCCTTTTGCTGTATTTCTTTACATGGAAACAAACATATAGATATACACCATCTGAATAAAGAACATGACATTTTTGCACGCCTGTGACAAAAAAAGAGAGCAGTATAGCAAAGTATACTTAGTTTTGGATTAAAAAAAAGAAAGAAATTTGAATATGCCATGTATAAAGCTTGTGCAATCGTATTTGATCAAAGTCAGTTACTCTGGTAATGTACTTTCAGAGATGGGAGTTTTAATGATGACTTCTGCATCTGTGGAAATGAAAGCCTGCTGCTGTCAGGTTGCCAGGACCCTTCAATGTGCGCTTCATTTTAGTAAATTAAGCATGTTTATACTTACTGTCACAAGCAGCAGAAAAACACCGACATTGCTTCCATGTTTAGAATTTTGTGGAGTCTACTACACCTGTGAGCAGACTCCGCTTAAGTTATCTGAAACTCCTAATCGCTTAATCTCATTCTTGACATACTTCAGCCTCCAACAGTCTGCTGCAACTTCTGTTGCGCCTTCTGGAAATCTCTGTAGCCATTTCTTTTTCTCCCTAGTTGGCTCCAAGCCAGAAATGTATCCATTTGCACAAATGCTTCTTAACCTTGTTCACACTGTTTGTTTGTTTTTTTTTTTCATTTTCCTGCTTTCTGCTTTTTTGATTGTTGTATGCTTTCATAGTAAATGTATTACTTGCTGAGTTTTCTGTATAATAAAGCAGCAGTTACAATGCATTTTCTAAACTAGTGTTTGCTTCACTTTAAGTGCACTGAACAAAATTATTTCTCCACAGTCATTTGATGGGCATCTTACTGTAACATAGGAGTCCTGAACATCAATGCATTTGATCAGCTTTCTGATTCGGTCGTATTCTTCCTACTCAATAGGATAATAAGGCCCAGCTGATGGAGGAAGGCTTCAGCATTTGCAGAGTAACCAGCACTTTTGAAGGCTGAAAAAACACTGAGGCACAAACATTCCTCACCAGCTACCTAGCAAGTTGCAGTGTCCCTAACATCACGAAACTGGTTTGTAACTCGCAGGGAAGGTTGTGCTTGCCCCAGGAATGATACTCATATCCAAACTAGCCTGTCTTAAAGTTAACTCTGAAAAGCTTGCAGCTCACACACATACATGTATGTGTGTATGTGTATAGATGCTTATGCATGTGTTGTATGTATATAACTGCACATATACAGTATAGAACTGTAGGTTTATCAGAATTAACTTAAAATGAGCCAGCTTGGATAGCAATAGCAACACCATTACTGAATATGTATCTTTATCCCTGCGTGTATGTATCTACATACACACGTAGCGAACCTCAGCTGCAGCTTGGAAGTTTCAGCTACCTAGAACTACATATGCAAATATTTGACATCATTAGAAAATTAGGAACATTTTGATTGGAGTGATTAGGTTGATATGTAGGAGTTCTGTAGTAGAGGCAGGAACAGATAGTCCCCCTGAATTTTTTTATTCCAGTTTCCACAATAAATTTAAAGAAAAAAAATAAAATTTCATGCACTTACCTTACAATTGTGGTGAATGCTGTGCCAGAGTCCAGTCCAAACTTTGAAAAAGCCAGAAAGTGTGTGCTGACAAAAATCATCAGGGATGATGGCTCTGTGATTGCATGCTTGGTTGAGAACAAGGGTCCTACAGTAAGATTGTGCACAGGACAATGTCTCTTAGGACATTCTCCTGTGGGATCTTAATCACATTTACTTCCACTTTTAATTAGATCTCAACATTAGGGAAAAAAAGCAAATTCTAGCTTGTCCAAAATTTGATTTATCTCCCAACTCAGATAAATCCAGCCTTGCAGCTTCCAGTCCTCTGGGGTGTCCAAATACTTGTGCCAAGAAGACATTAGTCTGCATTAGAACCTGTGGAGTAAACTGTTAGTCAAGTGAAGTTTTGTTCTCTTTGAGGTATTGCATCATGCATTTGCAGGTTTTTTTTCTCCCCTTGAGGCAGCTGGAGTTTTCAGGCCATCCTGTGTAACTGCATCTGTGTCACAAGTCTCTGACCTAGGAAACACACCTTAGCCCCAGTGTCACAAATGAATCCAACTACAGAAAGAAGAATAAGGTTACGAAGCGAACGGATTTTAAGATTCTACTTCCAAGTAATAGCGAGCAGCTGAAACAGGGCTAAAAGCCAGGAGCAGGCAGGCTCCTACTGGTCAGTTTTTGGTTGATCAATGTTGGTTTTTTAATAACTAGCCGCAAAAGACTAATTAGTGGCTTTACTGTGCTATTTCAAAGTGTCTGATGCTGACATAAAGTAGCAGGCTGTAACACCGGCTGCTAAATGCAGACTCGCCCCTCTTGACTGGGGACCCAGCACTGACCAGGACTAGCAAACCTCTCAGCTTCAAGATTTAAGGTAGAGTCAGGATTTTGCCTCCTGTCAGCAATAAAACACATAACTTCCATTGCTGGGCACAAGGCAGAAGACATAAACCACGAATGGTTTGCTTTTCTCCCACTAACGTAAATGTAGAGCAGTAACTTCACGACACCAGTGGGAGCGGTGTGTTCAAATCCCCCAGCACGCGTCGCGGGAAGTGCATGCTATCAGTTTTCCATTTACTGTTTTGGCAGGCATAATTTTGTTATTTTTCAAGCTGTTAATATTGGCCACCTCAGTGGTTTAATTATTTCACATGTACTTCAACATTTTAATAGGTCTGTGCTCCAGCAGACATAGGAGACAGAGCCCACCCTTCCCACAGATTTTAACGTTTTCCTTCACTGAGTATGACACCTTAACATTTACAAGCTTCGTTTACATTTCAACAGAGCAGTCATCTGCTGCCAAAGACTGCATGTGGCATTAAGTGATATATTTTAGAGAGGTTATAAACCCTAATAAAAGGGAATAAGGAGTATCTACAGCAGCTGTAGAGATTTGTAACAGAAAAATGAAGGCTGGTATGAATGAAATATGAATGGAAATGCGTGCGAGCACCAGCAGGAACAGCAGAATAGAGAGTTAAGATAATGGACTGTTTTGTTAACGCAGAAAACCATTCCCATCAGAAAAAAATAAGGAATTGCTCTGTTCACGTCAAGCCAAAGACCAGCACTTTGAAAACAGCCACAACACAGACGAGCCCCAGCATGCAGACCCCAAGAGGATGGTAACAAGGCTGCAGCGTCAGACACGCTTTGCCTTTCCTCTTAGCCCGTCAGGGAAACGCACATTGAAAACAAGGAAAAAACAGGCAATGGGCAGCGACCCGGCCTGTCATTTGTGGAGATCAAAGTAAGCGGGAGTCTGAGGTAAAAGATGACCACACACCAGCTGATGCCTCCTAAGGGATACAAAAGATCCAGCCAGAAACTACTTTGTTGTCCCCAGTCAATGGGAACCTTGGGCTTGGCAGCTGGCGTCCCTGCTCCTTTGTGTCACACACGAGTGGTCCTGGCCACGCCACTTGGACGCGGATGCCTTGGTGCTCCTGAACAGATGAGCGTCGGAGTGTGAATGAATTCAATCTATAGGAGAATGAGTGTGGGTGGACAAAACCAGCTTGCTTAAAGGTTTTGTGAATAGACACCGTTTCCCCTTTTGTAAGATCTCACGCTGAGCTTTCTCACACTAATTTCTCTGTTATAGCCGTTTCCCATTGTCATAGGAACGAACAGTCATTCGTGTTGAGGACCATATCGTAACTCCCCCCGCCCCAACAGAGGGGCAGAGATATTCGTGACTTGATCTAACTCTTGTATTCATTCCTAGATATGACATAATGACAAACTGTGTCAGTTTATCTACAAGTATGTAGATGATAATTTCCTCCCGTTCCTTTTCTAAATGCCTGGCTTGCTGAACAAAGAGGGACTTTGTACAGCATTTCATGCCGTGGGATTTAAGCTTCTCTGAGGGCACCTGTGAGCTACTGGACTAAAATAATCATAAATCATAGTTGAGTAGTTATTGGTAAAGAAAAGTTGTTCCATGGAAAGCCACGTGAAAATGAAGGGTTGGAGAGAAAGTGAAGGAGGAAGAGTGAAAAAGTCTGCTTTATGTCCTTACACATGAAAATGAAGACATAACGTGTTGGCCTGAGACAAGGATGATATGGACTTGGCCCAAGTCACAGTATGACTCAAAGTCAGTAGGATGCTTGAATAATGCCTTCCAACACCCCCCACTAACCTGGATCCCTAGTGCCACAGGAGGAGACTGCTAGAAGGGCTCAGTTACAGCAAGGCTGGGCTGTAGCATGAGGAAATGGAGCTTGGGATGTGTTGTTTCTTTCACCAGCTTTGACAGGCTTCCCATATCAAGTCCTCTAAATGACAAGGTTTGGGCAACAAACCACTGCCTTTTGCACACCCCAGTAAAAAACCAGGGTAGAAATAAATATCCTTGTCCTTCTCATCCAGCTATGTAGCAGCTTGGTTTTGAAGCCATCACAGAAGTGTTTTCATTAGAAAATAAACAAGCTCACTGGACGAACCCTATTGCTATCCTGAAAACCCCCATGAACCCCTCTGCAGAGAAGTACAATGCAAAGGAGCCGGCCCAGGCATCACTTGCAAATGAAGTTCAAACTATCAAATCTTCAAGAACAAGGCACATGCTGAAGAAAAGGTTTGCAGTGCTACTCTAGCCACAGAGGGAAGGGGTACTCTATCATCTGCTGATAGATACGTGTTAAATATAGTTAAATATAGTTTTGATTAACTAATTGCAAGAGATAAATCTGAGGGAAGCTAGCCAAAAGATGGGCACCTCTAACAATTGTTTTGTGAAGCTTATGTGAGGCAGCGATACAAAAAAAGTCATAGGGAGGTATTTGACCATGAGGGGCAGAATTCAGCCACGGGCACAGACATCTTTGGGAGCTGGCAAGAGCGGCCAGGAGTTGGAGTAGGAGATTCCATCTAAATCTCTCTAAATTGGGGAGGCATGGATTTGATGGATGGACCACTCAGTAGATACGGAAAAGAGTTGTGGTCAATGGCTTGATGTCCAAGTGGAGACCAGCAACGAGTGGCATTCCTTAGGGGTCGGTATTGTGACTGGCACTGTTTAACATCTTTGTTGGTGACATGGACAGTGGGAATGAGCACACCCTCAGCAACTTTGCCAACAACACCAAGCTGTGTGGTGTGGTCGACATGTGGGAGGGAAGGGATGCCATCCAGAGGGACCTTGGCAGGCTTGAGACGTGGGCCTGTGCAAACCTCATGAAGTTCAACAAGGCCAAGTGCAAGGTCCTGCACATGAGTTGGGGTAATCCCAAGCACAGACGCAAGCTGGGCTGAGAATGGATTGAGAGCAGCCCTGAGGAGAAGGACTTGGAGGTTTGACTGATAAGAAGTCAGCATGACCAAGCAATGTGCACTCGCAGCCCAGAAAACCAACCATATCCTGAGCTGCATCAGAAGAAGCAAGGCCAGCAGGTCGAGGGAGGTGATTCTGCCCCTCTGCTGTGTTCTCATGAGACCCCACCTGGAGCACTGCCTTCAGGTCTGGGGCCCCCCATGTAAGAAGGACATGGACCTGTTCGAGCAGGTCCAGAGGAGGGCCATGAAGATGATCAGAGGGCTGGAGCACCTCTCCTATGAGGACAGGCTGAGAGAGTTGGGGTGGTTCAGCCTGGAGAAGAGAAGGCTCCAGGGAGACCTTAGGGCAGCCTGCCAGTACCTGAAAGGGGCCTACAAGAAAGTTGCAGAGTGACTTTTCACAAGGGCATGTAGTGATAGGACAAGAAGTAATGACTTTAAACTGAAAGAGAGTAGACTTAGATATAAGGAAGAAGTTCTTCACTATGAGGGTGATGAGGCACTGGAACAGGCTGCCCAGAGAAGTTGTGGATGCCCCATCCCTGGAAGCGTTCAAGGCCAGGTTGTATGG